GTAAGTTTTAGTCATATCTCCTTCTTGGGACATCCTGTGTAAACACTCACAGTTTTTTCTGACCCGCTTTTTTAAATAAAAATCGACATGTCCGAGCTTTTTTTCCAAATAGACAAATCAAGCATTTACCGAATTTGCTTACCAACCTTTACGCTCTCACTGTATAATAAAAACGAAAGATAACCAAAATATAAAATTCCAAGTAAATATTATGTAATTAAGAGTTACGACTAATCTTCTGCCGGCGCGCAAGTCTCCAGTACGGATTAAAGCAACCCTCTATTAGAACAGGTAAAAATATTAACCGCGCGCGCTAGTGACCGATCATCGCGCCATTTTCTCTTTGAGCGATCAGGTAACGATTCAGATGGCGCGAATGAACGCTTGTTTTGACAATTTCGCTACCTGAGCGCTCAAGGAGAAGCCTATATATCTTTGGGAGCGAAATATTTTTACTCTCATCGCTCACTGATCAGTGATCACTTCATTTCAAAGTGGTATTTAGTAAGGTTCGGTCGTGGGTTTACAAACTAATACCTATCAGTATTTTTGGGTTATGTTTTGTAGATATTGAATAGTTTTAGTTGTTTTTTGAATAGATTGGTTGTTTCGGAATAGTTTAAGTTGCTTTTGAAGAGTCGGCCGTGTCGTGGGAGTATTTTGATGAGATGGATGAAATATTTCATGTTGATAAAATTGTTCGAATACCATCAACACTGAGTTCCTCAACTTTTGGACAACAAAACATCCAACGGGTGAGTCTGACGGAGGAGGCGCAACAGACTAGACCTGCATCTGACCTGGACAGCTCGAGCAGGGACCTTCAAAGAACGGGCAGTACTAGGGGTAAAGAGAGATCGGGCAGGTCCAGTCTCAGAAGGGAGACTCCACGAAGAAGGAGGGACACTTACCTCAACACGCTGAGGATGAAACAAGTGGAAATAGAAACGGCACGAGTGGACGAGTTAAAAAGAATTAGAATTGCAATGGAACCAAACAACATAATTCAGAGAGAAATGAAATTTTAAAACAAAAAAATGAAATTTTAAAACAAAAAAATGAAATTTTAAAACAAAAAAATGAAATATTAACAAAAATGGAAGATAAAATTAAAAAATAAATTTAAAAAAGTTTTTAAACAAATTTATTTATAATAATATATAATTTCTTTTATTTATCGCAGCATTACCAACTTCTGCCATATTTTGGCCTAAAAATGGAAGAGAATTGTATGAACAAATAAATTTGAATAAAGGTTTTGAAATATATTTATTTGTAGTAATGTTGTAATATAATTCCATTTATGCATCGCAGCATTACCAATTTCTGCCATATTTTCTTGGTCGGGCATAGCCGGACTGCAGCGATGGTCAGTGGGTAAAGAAGGGTCAGAGGATTAAAACTTTAATTCCATGGCCGGACTGCAGCCGAAGATTTATAATCCGCTTAGTGGAATTCGAAGATACCTACTTCTGTTTCCCGAGTGATTTTGTTATGATTTTATTTAATTCAATTTCATTTGGTCTTCAATAATTTTAAGATTTTTTTATTTTAGAATGTTAAAATTATTTACAAAAATGTTACAAAAAATGAACTATCATTAACCAACAAAAAATTTTAATTTTTTACTGTAGTAATGCAAATACTTTCTAGTGCCTCATGTACAGTGTCCACACTGGTAGGTAATGGTGGTAATAATTTTCTTCTCGCGTCATACATTCTCTTTTTAAAGGAATATGTATCACTCAAGTCCAATTTGGCTGCGTACTTATTTTTTTGGATTTCCATATGTAACAATTTGGCTGGACGTTCGCTAATTTCCTCCGCTGCTTTTGTCTTTAAAGAGTTTGATACAATCTGTCTGTGTAAATTTTCACAAACTTCGTGATTGTGGGTTTCATCTGCTCTTAAAATTACACTATCGGCATCATCCACATAAAGTACACAAAGCATTACACTTTCTTGAAACACAACACCACTTTACACCTTCTTTTGTTGCACACACCGAGAAAAATATCTTGCAGCCGTTATACAAAATTGTATAACAATTAACAGATTTCAGAATTGAATAGGCGCCAGCTAAGCTCCTGTTTTACTGCTATACAGGACTTTATTTCAAAAAACTTGTATTGTAATGCCAAGCAGTCATTTAAAAATGAAATTATGTAATTTTTGTGATTATTGGTTTTTCTTGTAATGTTTAAATGATTAACATTTAATCGGTATAATGTTATCATTTTATGAATATATTGGCATCCAATATTGGGGAAATCTGACTATCTTGTGATTAAAAGAAACTTGTATATGAACAAAATGATGCCTGTTTTAGTTTTAAAGGATTACCATTAATGATTAAATTGTCCGCTATTATTATTAAAAAAAACTTGTATAAAGATAAAATGAAAACAATATTATATTTAAATTGACATCTAAAATGTCACTTTATTTTTGTTAAAAGAAACTTGTATATAAATCAAACTTTATCATCAAAACGTTCCAATCAAAATTCGAGGGACCTCTGCTTTATTCAAGGGACTTGATGTTTTGATTTCAAACGTGCCCACACTACTTCCTTCCAAAATAGGTACCAGGTCTTGATCAGGCTCAACATTTTTTTCCATCACTTACTACAGTGAATGAGTTATTACGCGTAGTATTCCTTTGAAGAGGGTCCCAGTTCCTACAATAAAGGAATGAAAATATTAATATAATTATTCATAATATAAAAAACGTGTTCAGCACATACAGGGTGTCCCAATAGTGCGGTAAAGCCCATTTACTCAGTTATTATAATAGATACGAAAAAATGATAAATAGGAAAAATGTTAAGCACCTTTAGGCGCACAATTTAAAATTATTTCGAAATATACAGGGTGGCCCATAAATCGATGCCATACCAAACATACCTTTTTTTAAAGGCAATGATATATTGTTTATTTCATATTCGATTTCAGCTCGTATTCACGAGTTTCTCAATATAAGATTTCATATGACTATACTAAGTATTTAAAAAGTTATGGCCATTTTTATGTTCAAATCGACATGATTTCAAGGCCCTGTATATCAGAATCTGTATCAGATAATGTGAATTTTTCTGTGTCAGCACTTTTTGAAAATGGTCTATTTTCACAAAAAATAGTTACATTCTGACAAAATTACAATTTGTATACAGGGTGGGTCAAAACGCAAACATAATAATTACTCGCTTAATTTAAATGGAACACCCTATATTAATAATATCCAATAGGAAGTCTATTTCTTACTGAATCTTTTTTATTAACATTTCCCTATACCTAACTGTCACCGTTTCTGAGATATTTTCAGTTTTATTAAAAAATGTCCAGTTTTTAATATTATAATTCCATTTTAATCTAATTACCAATGACGTCTTCGAACTTTTTTTGCCAAATAATAGTAGAAAATTAAATATCGATTAATGATTAATCAAATTTCATTAGCAGGTATCCTAAATTTTTAGTTATTCTATAATTTACAGTGACACGAGTTCAATAAGAAAAATTCGCATAGTTCGTAGATGATGACGTCATAGAGGTAACTAGATTAAATTAAAATTATAATAATTTCAAGTTTAATTTAAAAATTACCAAATATTTCGGGTAGGTAATGATCGTTAATTAATTGATATTACATTTTCTACTATTATTTTGCAAAAAAAGTTCGAAGACGTCATTGGTAATTAGATTAAAGTGGAATTATAATATTAAAAACTGGACATTTTTTAATAAAACTGAAAATATCTCAGAAACGGTGACAGTTAGGTATAGGGAAATGTTACGAAAAAAGATTCAGTAAGAAATAGACTTCCCATTGGATATTATTAATATAGGGTGTTCCATTTAAATTAAGCGAGTAATTATTATGTTTGCGTTTTGACCCACCCTGTATACAAATTGTAATTTTGTCAGAATGTAACTATTTTTTGTGAAAATAGACCATTTTCAAAAAGTGCTGACACAGAAAAATTCACATTATCTGATACAGATTCTGATATACAGGGCCTTGAAATCATGTCGATTTGAACATAAAAATGGCCATAACTTTTTAAATACTTAGTATAGTCATATGAAATCTTATATTGAGAAACTCGTGAATACGAGCTGAAATCGAATATGAAATAAAAAATATATCATTGCCTTTAAAAAAAGGTATGTTTGGTATGGCATCGATTTATGGGCCACCCTGTATATTTCGAAATAATTTTAAATTGTGCGCCTAAAGGTGCTTAACATTTTTCCTATTTATCATTTTTTCGTATCTATTATAATAACTGAGTAAATGGGCTTTACCGCACTATTGGGACACCCTGTATATTTTAATTTGCTATAACTTTTTGTTACAGTAACACAAAAATTTCGTATCGCCTGTACAGGGTGTTTCATAAAAATCTCCTCTTTTAAATTCACATTAACCAAATTTTATGAAATAGAACATTTTCTTTTGTAGAATAATACATTTTTGAAAAGTAGAAGAGTATATCATTCAAAATACCTTTATATATACGGGGTGTTCCATTTAAACAAATTTAGTAACTGTGAATTTAAAAGAGGACAGTTTTATACAACACCCTGTATTGGTAATGCATAATTTCTGTATGACTGTAACAAAACTTGTAATAAAATAAGACATTTTTGAGAAAACCGCATGTTTTTATGATTAGGCGTTTACAAATTATAAGCTCATTATAGGGACTACTTTTCATTGGGACACCCTGTACTTGTAAAATCTTTTCGTTTATTTAATGAAGATACCTAGGTATATTTAAGTTTAAATAAATACTGGTACTACCCCAATTCTCTGTAAATTGAATTACCCACATGCTATTCTATAAATAATAACAATAACATTTTTTTTATCTAGCTTAATGTTGAGTCAATTTTCAAAATCTTGCTGTTGTACTTTGTAATAAATACTTTGTATAAAAGAAAATTGGGTAGACCACTCCCGCTACACTTATTACATCTATTCTTTATATTTTATAGAACTTTTATTATGCCTGTTGAGATAAGCTTCGCAATACTTACTGGTAAGTAGGCAACTTAATTTACATTTCTTCAATTTAAATTGACTCTTCATTACAGTCAGCGACAGCAGTTATGCGGATAAGGTCAATGATTTATCAAGTCCTAAATTAAAAGAAGAAATATTAAAGGAGTTTCCATCGGCCGAAATACGCGTAATAAAAATCATACCAGACGATTTGCAGGAAATTAAATCGACTCTAACAGAATGGTTCGACTTGAAAATCAACGTAATATTCACAACAGGCAATCTACCAGACATGATCTTTGCTGTGATTATCAGTAGCTTGAAGATCATTCCAATTGCGATGCTCTCCAGACCCTTGAGCGGTATTAGAGACAACACGATGATAGTAAATCTGCCGGGAAGCCCCGAAATGGTTTCGGAATGCTTCGGTATCATCAAGGAAGCCTTACCCCGCGCTTTGGAGCTCCTAACAGAACAAAAAAAATCTGTGGTTTCTGGCCACGAAGCCATTCTGAGCGACTCAGGAGCATCCGTTGTCCCAACCACCAGCCTTAGTAAGGTAATTTATAAAATTAACAGCTTCGACATCAGCGAAGGTACTATTACTCAATTCGAATTTGTCTTTATTTTTGTAGGTGAAACTGGCTCCATTAAGAAAATACTGCTACCCTATTATCGATGTTGAAGTTGCTTCTGCTATTATTAAGGATATTTGTTCTGATAAAGAGGAAACCACAGAAGCGGTGCCTTTGGAGAGATCGCTTAATCGAATTGTAGCAGAAGATATTCATGCTGAAGAATCGATTCCTTCATTTGCAACTTCGATTATAGATGGTTACGCTGTTAAAAAGAGCGATGGCAAAGGAATACGTGTTGTAAAGAATGTTGCAACTGCAGGAGATAAGGTATGTAGATACATTTACAAGATTTCTAAAGAATGAGCTCATTAGAATTGTAATAAATGAAGTTTGTAATGTTGCAGCCAATCGATGAAGTTCTGAAGTCAGGCGAAGCGAAAAGAATATCGATGGGAGATCCAATTCCTGCGGGAGCAGACGCAGTGGTACCAGTGGAAGATACATCAGTAGATAAATATTCGATTGATGGTTCTAAAGTAATTAAGGTGGAAATCAAAAGAGCACCCAACTATAATGAAAACATAAGGTAAGGGAAAATTTTTAAATACAATTGTGGAATATCTAGTATTTTTTTAGAGGAATCGGAAGCGACGTATCGAAGAATTCTTTGGTTTTAAAAAAAGGCGAACGTATCAAACATTTCTCTCTTGGAGTTTTAGCCATGTTAGGAAAAACAAATATTTTGGTTTATACGTAAGTTGAATTATTCAGTTTCCTAAAAGTTCCCTCCTTTACTTTAATACATTTTTTTCTAGACGCCCTTCTATAGGAATCATATCAATTGGCAATTATATTTGTGAACCTAAAGAAGAACTAGCCCTTGGCAAAATCAAAGATGCAAATAAATGCACCATAATTAATTTGCATAAAAATTTCCATTATGAAGCAAACGATTGTGGTATAGCTAAAGACAAGTAATAATTAATCCTGATGTATTTGATACTTTTTTAATACAATAATTTTTAGTCCTGATGCAATAAAGCAAGCTCTTGAACAAAGTTTTACTCGTAACGATGTTATTATAACGAACAGTTCAATGGGAGAATTGGACATGTTGAAACGGGTCCTCGTTGAGGATTTTCAAGCTAATATACATTTTTGCAGGATAAAGATGAAACCCGGGTAAGTCAAAGTTTCGTAATTTGAAAGATTTCAATGATTCAATGATTATGATTTTGTTATAGAAAATACACGACCTTTGCGACACTTATGTATAATGAAACATTGAAAATCGTATTTGGCCTAACGAGTTAACCATCTTCCTGTGCAATAACTTGTATATTATTCGTTATTCCTGCTCTACGCTTAATGGAAAAATCTCTCTACGAACGTTTTGTACCTATTTCTGTGCCACCAAATTCATTTAATATAGTAAGTAAAAATTTTGTTAACATTGGAATAATTATTCCAATTACATTTTGTTTGAAATAACTAAGCTCCACATTTTCCTAATAACTTTATTTTTCTAATACAATCCGTTCGCTATCAGGAGATACTAATAAAACCTAAATTTGCAAATAATATGAAAAGTAGGTAATTAATATGGAAAACACATCAGGCGCGAATTAATGAAAAAAATCATAAAATTCCAAAACGTTACAGCTTTTACCATTGTATAATTGTTATGTTTATTTTACTTTATTAGTTCTCTCAGTATACAGTGTATTACCTGTTACTAGGTTGTATTTATTTGTTAGTGCCCCTATAAATTACTGCTTTATTATTTTTTTACTATTTCTTGATAGGAAACAAAGTATAGAATATAATATTACAATAAATTTCATTTTTTAGTTATCGAGACGGTATAATAAAGATGATTGTCTAGAGTACCGACTAGTTCAAGTAAACCTCGTTTCGACTTCAGTTAGATGTCAAATATACAGCGCATTAACTGGTTTAGATATAACAAACGGTTTACTTATAGTTGAGCCAAAGAAAGATTACTCAATTAAAGATTCAAATGGAGACTATCGCAATCTTTACAAGATAATATTATTTTATGAGAATTATTATCAGTGAAATGGGCTGTATTATTAAATACAATCTCTGTTGTTTCTTCTAATTTTAAAATAATACCAATACGTTCTTTTGATCAGTTAACAGTTCTTTTAATTTTTTCAGTTTCAGTTTGTAATAAAATATTTAATTAGTATTTTGGCTTTATTTAATCCTTATTGAAAGATCCCAAAAAACCTATATAGTTATGGGTCTTACGCAAAAGTAAAAAGTTGATGGTAATATTCAGTTATTTGTGCTCTTTCCAAATTTGCAATTCAATATTTAAAAATTCAATGTACAGGGTGTTGTTTTGGGGATAGTCAAACTTTAATAATTTTTATTAAGCCGGACCTGGATTTTGAATTTTTTAGTGTATCGATAAATTGTTCAAAAAGATGTAGATTATCTGTGAAAAATATGAAATAATTATACTGAGTGATTCAAAAGTTATAAGCCCTAAAATAAATGGGTTAAATTCAAAAAACGCCCTGTAACTCGGTTATAAAGAGCGTAAGACCCATACTATACAGGGTGTCTACTATAAAAACCGCCAAACTTCAGGAGGTGATTATACAAGTAATTTTGAACAAAAAATGTCCCTATAACACTTTTTCGAAAAGTCGATAGTTTCTCTGTTATTTAACATTTCATTATTTTAAATTTTTTTTTTGGCTTTTTTCCAAAAAGACCGAAATATCACATTTATTCGTATAGTCACATTAATTTTGATCATATACCGTAAAAGTGCATTAAATTTGCTATAAAAAAAAGTATTTATCGAATTGTAGCGAATGATTTTGAACCGTTTAGAACAATTTAGAATGCTTCAGAAAGATTAAGAACTGTTTAGAATAATTTAGAACTTTTTAGAATCATTTACAACACCCCAGAATCATTTAGAAATGTCTAGAAATATTTAAAACTGTAGCGAATGATTTAGAACCGTTTAGAACAATTTAGAATGCTTCAGAAAGATTAAGAACGGTTTAGAATAACTCTTGTTTACTCTTTCAAGCATTTCCACAGGAATTTCGGCGATTTGAGCTCAAATGTTATTTTTGAGGGCTTCCAGGGTCCTAGGAAGTTCATTATAAATGTTTGACTTCAGGTATCCCCACAGGAAAAAATCACAAGGTGTCAAAGGTGGAAATGCTTGAGAGGGTATAAGAATCGTTTAAAAAAAGACTTGCTCAATGTTTGGAGTGTGAGAGGCGCCAATCAACCATTTTACAAGGTTTGTTAATTGGTAAAATGTATTTTAAATCTTAGGTACCTGCGATCACGTTCGGAAGTTCATCGATTGTTACATTGGATTGCCTGGAAGAATGCATTATGCCAATGTCTTCAGGAATAGCCCTCTACATAGAGCTCTCTGCAAGATGATGTCAATTTCAAATCCGGTCTAATTGCTCTTCAAAAAACCGCTCTCAAATCGTTCTAAAAATGCTTTAAAATTGATCCGGTTTAATAACCGATTTAATTGCTTTTCAAAACCCCCTTTAAATTCGCTTAAAAATCGCTCTAAAACTAATTCAAAACCGTCATAAAACTGCCTTCAATATCATTCTAAAAATATTTTAAATCCAATATAATTGCTCTATAAAAACCGCTCTAAAACCGCCGTAAAAATTGATCCAATTACTCTTAAAACTGTTCTAATTGTTCTTCAAAAATCGATTTAAAAACATCCCTTAAACTAACTGCTTCATAATTGCTCTAAAGTCGACTTAATAACCGATCTTAAACCTAATTGCTCTTCAAAAACCGCTCTAAAGCTTCCCTAAAGCCGCTTCAAGACCGCCTTAAAAAACTGATCTTGTTACTCTTAAAATTGTTCTAATTCTTCTTTGTAAAGGAAAATGTTGAGTTTTTTATAAAAATAACCATTTTCTAACGTTTTATATTTAGCTATTTTAAAGCTTTTTTAATATCATTTTTAATGTCATTGTAATGTCATAATAGAATGTAACGAAAATCTTTTTTTTGCTATTAATTTGATTGATTAAGATTTTCATTCATCTTCGACCGTTTTATTCCTGTCTCTTGAATGCTCTTTCTTCGTTACGAATTCTGTTAAGGCGAAGATAAAATTTTTTATGATCAATAACCCTTTTTATAACTATTTTTTGTTATTTTTTAGGAATTTTTAAACCTTTTTAAATCATTTCGAAGGGATGATTAGAATGAAGAATAGAAAATTAGGAGGAAATTCATGTTTAGAAAACGTAATTAAAACGAACCGGAATAATTTTTGGAGTATTTCTGCGATTTTCTTCGTTCGATCGAATTCATGTGCCTCTTCAAAATCACGTTCAAAACCGTTTCAAAACTGCTTTAATTTCTGTTCAAAAACCGGTTCAAAATCGTTCTAAAAACCGCTTTAATAACGGATCTGATTGCTTTTCAAAAACCGCTCTTAAACCGCCTTAAATACGATTTAAAACCGCTCCGAAAACTGATCTAACTACTCTCAAAACTTATATAATTATGGATCTTCAGAAATCATTCTAAAACTGATTTAAAATTCTTCTAAACCCGGTTTAATAACCGATCTGATTGCTCTTTAAAAATTGCACTTAAATCCGATGGTCTGAATAATTCTGAACAGTTTTAAATGGTTCTGGAGCGTTCTAAAGGGTTCATAGACAGCTCTAAACGATTTTGGAGCGTTCTAAATGGTTCTAGTCAGTTCTAAATGAATCTGGAGCGCTCTACAATGATTTTACTGATTTTAGACTTTAGTTCTAAATCATTCTGAAAAGTTCTAAATAATTAGTGAAGCATTCTAAACGGCTCTAGAAAGTTCTAAATGGTTCTAGACTGGAATCTAAATTGTCCTAAGCTGTTTTGAATCGTCTTATAATTATCGATAAAGACAATAATTAAGATAATCAGACCGATTTATTAGAGATGGGCAAAACTG